GAAACGGTGTTTGTTTCATGACTGCAGGATTCACTCAACAACCCCAGTGATTCGCTTAACAACGGTGGCAATAAACATCGTAAAATTCAGCACAACTGACTTAGCAACCGCCTAGCTTAGCAATGCCATTTCTGGTCCCAATTCTGGTCATAAGTGGAGGACTAGCTGTAGGAAGCGGCAGCAGGTTGATTTGGAAAAGCCGAAAACAAACACCATTTCGCCCCCTGATTTTACTTGTCATAAATCCATGTTGATTGCCAGGCACCCAAATTGTGACTATGTGTCCAAGAGGATGCTGCACTAGTCGTAAGTGCGAGGACAAGGCCAGACCCCCCTTTCCCCCTTTCCCTTCTGCCTTTGTGGGCGGCATCTGGGATGAGGCCTGGGGGCTCCTGAACCCCCTCCCCCAACCCGATCTCAGGGTCGGGTGTATAAGTTGCAGGTGAGGGGAGACGATTGAGACAACTGGGCCCTTCTTCACTCCCACAACTGTAGACAGCAACATCTGGAGAAGGAGGGGCTTCCTCTGCTTTGGGGGAGGAGAGAAAAGATCCAGGTGCCCAGATTTGGGGTGTGTGTGTGCAGAAATCCTCCTTTTGTTCGAGTTCAGGTGGACCCGGTTTCTCCCCTCCAGAACTTCCGGCTCTGGGGATCTGCAGAGGCCCCTTCCCCCTCCTTCCTCCCTCAAACCTCTCAGACTGGCCGTCCTGCTGGATCCCTTCCTCTTCAACTGCGGCAGGGACCTCGATCTGGCCGGGGATGATTGACAGCTCCAGGGTATTTTGTTTTGTTTTGTTTTGTTTTTATTTTTTATAACACAATATAACAATACACGACATACAACATTTATAAACAAACTCTCTTTACAGACTACTGCATGGTGGTTTTCTTTGTTAGTCACAATTTCCCCTTCCTTCTCTTTATGTTATTCCGATCTACTTCTTGTCCCCAACATTTTGATTGCAGTGTATATAATGTATTTCTCTCATTCATATCAGTTTCCTATTTTTTATCTTTAACATACCCTTTCTTTATTGTTTAACTTTTCTATCTTTCCCCCCTATTTTTCTTCTTTGTTTTTCCTCCCCTCCAACCACTTAGACCATTTGTGCCAAGTCTTCTAGTATTCTGTGTCCTATTTTCTTTAAGTTCTTTTGTCAATTTATCCATCTGGGCACATTCCAAGATTGAGACTTTTCTACTAGGGATATTTACAGAAAAATTTACGAAGGAGATAAAATATTTAATATTACATATCTTAGCAGCCGCTCGTATAGTCTATGCCCAGAATTGGAAGAAAGAAAATGTACCAACGGAAGAAGAGCTGACAGCTCCTGGGTATTTTGGGTTGGTTTTGAGGTCGACTGTCTGGGTGGGGTTTGCTCTGCTGCGTAAGAGTTGTGTAAGGGAACTTCACAAATATGCTGAGGACACCTGGTGGCAGGTGATGGGGGAGGAAAACGGCAGGTAAGGAAAAGACCGGAGGGAGTGGGAAAGTGGGGGGGCAGAGAGAGAGAGACCAAGGAATGGCCGGAAGACTTGGGGTCCCTTCTGAAGAGGGAAACCTTCTCCCTGGTTTGACCTCTGAAGCTTTGAGCAGGTCAGGCTGATTCCTCTTCAGTCCTTTGCAGTTCCAGACTCCCCCAAAGGGAAAGGAAGGGGAAGGGGTTTCTCTCCTCTCCCCCTCCTCTTTCCAGGCAGCGACCCAGACGGAATGCCAATTCCTCCTTCATTGGGATCGCCTGGACAGGAGGCCACCCAGAAGTGCCACCTTCTCTTCATTGATGGATGAGACTGACGTGGACTCCCCTCTCATGCACAACATCCCTGGGAGGGTCAGTGAAGGAGAATAAAATATATAACAACCCAAGAAAATGACCCCCAAGTCTTCCCTGGCTATGGGGGGCGGCTCCCCTCTTCTCATCCAGCCTCACCCCAACCTCTCCCCAGGGCAGAAATCTTCATCTGTGAAATGAAACGTGTGTGTGTGTGTGTGTGTGTGTCCAGATGCTTCCAGTCCCAGAGGAGGAATTGGGGGTTCTAAATTGGGGGAGGAAGCTTTGATTTCGGACTTTGGAGGTGGGAAGGACAAGAATCAGAGGGAGCACCAATGGGAATTCTCCCTGCTTGAGCGTCATCGGTCTCCGGGCAGAGTCTTTTGTGGCTTCACCTGGAGGAGAAGGGAGTTCATAGCAGAGAGAGAAACGGAGAAATGTGTGTGTGTGTGTGGGAGGGGGGAGTCTGTTCGGTATTTGGGGGGGGGGGAAGCAGCTCAAGGGGGTTCATGGCAGCCCTAGACGGGACCCTCCACTTTCTTTGCTCCCTTCAGGAGTCTCAGCCGGGGATTCCCGCTTCCCCCCTTCTTATCCCCCCCCCATTGACATCCCCAGCAGCGGTTCTTGAACCCAAAACCGAGCTCTAATTTGCGGTGGGTCCGAAACCCCCACAGACCCTCCGGCAGCCCCTTTGCCAGGAAGGGAGCAAAAGGCAGGAGCTTCCGGAGGGCAGGGAGGGACCCCCAGGGTTGGGGGAGGGGCACTTCCAATCATAAAGTGTTGTGTGTGTGTGAAGGCGCCCAAGGACTCCCCAGGCAGCCCTCTCAGAGACCCCCAAGGCCTCGCTGGCTGTGGGGCTGCGCCTCCCCTTCAGCCATCCCCTGCGGCCCCACTCCACGCCGGATCGGGGGAGGGAGGGCAAAAGGAAGCCCACCCTCCCCTCCAGGGCTGGCATGAGCCCCCCTTGAGCTGCGGCCCCCAAGACTGAAAATATCCCCCTCCCCCTTCCTCCGCTCCTCTCTCTGCGCCCAACTCTCCCCTCCATCAGGTGAAGTCAAGGGAGACTCTGCCCGGAGACCGATGACGCCGCAGAACGGAGAATTCCCATTGGTCCTTACGCTTTTCTGGGCACGTCCTAGGCAGAAATCTTCATCGGTGAAATGAAACGTGTACATGTGTCTGTGTGTGTGTGTGTGTGTGTCCTGGCCAGATGCTTCCAGCCCCAGAGGAGGGATCGGGGGTCTGAACTGGAGGTGAGGAAGCGTCGAGTCCTTTGTGGCTTCCTGAACCCCTCCCCCTTTCTTCACCCCTCCCTCCGATTCCGCCTGTGGGGCTGCGGGGCCCGTAGAGCTTCTGGCTCCTTCCCTTCGGCCACGGGCTCCAGAGCCTCGGTTCCTTTCCTTTCCTTTCCTTTCCTTCCCTTTTTTTTTTTTTAAATTTGATTTATATGCCGCCCTTCTCCGGAGACTCAGGGCGGCTTACAATGCATTAAGCAATAGCCTTCATTCTTTTGTATATTTATACAAAGTCAGCTTATTGCCCCCACAAACTGGGTCCTCATTTCACCTATCTTAGAAAGGATGGAAGGCTGAGTCAACCTTGAGCCTTGGAGAGATTCGGACCAGCAGTAATTGCAGGCAGCTGTGTTAATAACAGGGTGCACTAAACCACTGTACTATCAAGGCTCTTTCCCTTCCCTTCCTTCCCTTCCCTTCCCTTCCCTTCCCTTCCCTTCCCTTCCCTTCCTTTCCTTCCTTTCCTTCCTTTCCTTTCCCTTCCTTTCTGTCCTTCTTCTATCTTCCTTTCCTTTCCTTTCCTTTCCTTTCCTTTCCTTCCTTTCCTTTCCTTTCCTTTCCTTTCCTTTCCTTTCCTTTCCTTTCCTTTCTTTCCTTTCTGTCCTTCTATCTTCCTTTCCTTTCCTTTCCTTTCCTTTTTTCCTTTCCTTTCCTTTCCTTTCCTTTCCTTTCTTTTCCTTTCTGTCCTTCTTCTATCTTCCTTTCCTTTCCTTTCCTTTCCTTTCCTTCCCTTCCCTTTCCTTTCCTTTCCTTTCCCTTCCTTTCTGTCCTTCTTCTATCTTCCTTTTTTCCTTTCCTTTCCTTTCCTTTCCTTTCCTTTCCCTTCCTTTCTGTCCTTCTTCTATCTTCCTTTCCTTTCCTTTCCTTTCCTTTCCTTTCCTTTCCTTTCCTTTCCTTTCCTTTCCCTTCCTTTCTGTCCTTCTTCTATCTTCCTTTCCTTTCCTTTCCTTTCCTTTCCTTTCCTTTCCTTTCCTTTCTTTCCTTTCCTTTCCTTTCCTTTCCTTTCCTTTCCTTTCCTTCCTTTCCTTTCCTTTCCTTTCCTTCCTTTCTGTCCTTCTTCTATCTTCCTTTCCTTTCCTTCCTTTCCTTTCCTTTCCTTTCCTTTCCTTTCCTTTCCTTTCCTTTCCTTTCCTTTCCTTTCCCCAAAGTTCCTTGGAGACCCTGGAAAGTGACCTTCTTCCTCTTTGGGGTCCCTGCTTGGTTTGGCCTCTGCGTTGAAGGGGTTGCAAGTGTCACCAGAAGCACCAGGTGAAGATGAGGAGGGCGTCAATCACTGTGGAACCTCCATACTGGAATCCATCACTTCCCACATCACCATCATTGATGAAAGACGATGCCAGACGTTCAGCCTTGGTCAACAATGCGATGGATGGCATCTCAGCCGTGGCCGCTCCTTGTCCTGGGGCAAAAGAAGCACAGATTGAATATTTTAATAACAATGAAACAGTAAGCAAGAAACAAAACAATGAATAAAACTGAGCAACCAAATTAAGATTAAAGGCTCCTAGTTTTCTTTCCTGTTGGCTTCCATAGTCCAAAAACTCCCACCCAAAACCCCAAAGCAAGAAATGCAAAACAAAAGGCATTAAATAACAACAACAATAATAACAGAATATCTTTCAAATAGAAAAATAAAGAAAAACTGAAAACCAAATGAGTTCAAACTAATTGAGCCGAGGTGGAGAGTGCAGGACTGCAGCTACTTCAGCTGACTGCTAGTTCAGCAGATCAGCGGATCAAATCAAGGTTGACTCAGCCTTCCATCCTTCCGAGGGGGGTAAAATGAGGACCCAGATTGTTGGGGGAAATATGCTATTTAGTATACTGTCTATGGTGTAAGCCGCCCAGAGTCCTTGGAGAGTGGGCGGCATAGAAATATGAATAATAATAATAAAATAAAAAAATAAACACTTACCAACCATCACATTGTTTAGCAAGGAAGAACGTCTGACATCCTCCTTCGTTCATCAATGATGGTGAGGTTGGGGTTGATGGGTTCCGGTATGTCCGGTTCCACCATGATGATGGCGGCCTCCACATCTTCACTTCGTCCCTCTGGTGACACTTGCAGACACCTTTTCCTGGGGATTGGAGAAGGAAAAAAGAATAAAATATCACTGACTGGCACATTCTTTTCTTAACAAGGATAATAAACCTATTCTTAATGGGGGCCCCATTAGTGGAGATTTTCAAGGAAAGCTTGGGGGTTGGACTAGAAGACCTCCAAGGCCCCTTCCAGCCCAGAGGGACTCTATCCTTTCTCCTGTTAGTCCCACCAACATTTTGGGAGGCTTTCAGTGCCCCAGGGCTCCCCAGGTTGTGGGAGGCCACTCCCCTGATCAGGAGCCACTTACCTGCACTGGTGGAAGAAAACGCAGAGGCCAACCAATGCATAGACCCAAGGACAAACAAGGTCACTTTCCAGGGGTCTCCAAGGACGTTCTGGGTCTGTCAAGGGATGGCCGCAGCAGCTCGTTTGGGTCCATTTCTGGAAGAGAAAAGGGATGGAGGAAGAAGAGTCAATCTCTGGTTTTAATGGTTGGTGGTTCCCCTCCAAGACTAACCACCATCCCAAAGTCAAACTCCCAAGCAAGGGAAAAAACCACACCTCAGACCAGAAACCAAGTCCTGCTCACCTCTTGGTCTCAGTCTCAGTCTGTCTCAGTTTCAGTTTCGGTTTCGGTTTCGGTCTCTGTCTCTGTCTCAGTCTCAGTCTCTATATTTCTCTTTCTCTTGCTTTCTTGCTCTCTCCTCTTTCTATCACTCTCTCTGGTTCTCTGACTCTCTCTCTGGCTCTGTCTCTCTTTCGAGTGAGTCTTTGATCCACTGAACCTTCTTTAGCCTGCATGGCCCCACCCATCAACGGAAAAGAATTCCAACAGAATCCAGGTAACCTAGAGGCCAAACAACACTTCTCCCTCTACTCAACCCTTGGCCCCTCCCTCCCTTGGAATCCCCCCCTTTCAGCTCAGGAGGGAAGGTGAACAGTTTAGTGGCCCTCAGCAGTGGGGAATCCAGGGGGTCCTGCCTAAGCAGGGGGTTGGACTAGAAGACCTCCAAGGTCCCTTCCAACTGTTATTTTCTGTGGGGCTTTCCGAGAAGCGACCCTCCAAACCTTGGTTCCACCCCACCTGTGCCCAATGACACGGCCATCAAATAACACCCTTCCCCCATGGCGGAAACTTCCTTCCTCCCAAGCAGGCCTGACAGGCTCACCTGCTCTTTGCAAAGGGATCCTCCAGCACAAGACCTGAGGTGCAACCTAAAAGAAAGGCTCTTCCCTTCTCCTTGTTCAGCGACGGAACGGACTCCAAAAGCACCATCCCTCTTTGGGGCATCTTCAGCGCACATCCCAAAGGTGCTTTTCAAAAGAGAGCTGGAATTTCTTGGGTTTTTTCCCTTGAAAACATTTTGCTTCTCATCCAAGAAGCTTCTTCGGTTCTGACTGAATGGTGGGGAATGGAAGGATCTCTCCTCCTTGCAGCCGTTTGGTGGTTAGCATTGTGAAGGTCAGCCGTGGGCTCTCTGAGAGGCCTTGAGGCCACCTGGGGGTTTATCTGCACCCTCAGGGCCCCATGAATCAGAGGGCAAATGGGGGGAACCTCCTTGGAACTGGGGAAAGGACCCTGTTGCTGTCTTCAGAGAGGGCAAAGTCCACCCTCTGGACAGAGGAGACCCCTGGTTGGAAAGAGGGTCAAAGAGACCATCTATGTTAAAACAGAACAGCCCCCTCTCAACAGAGGGGTAGGGGGAGGACCCCACCTCTCTCTTGTGTGCAACACAGTCCTCAGAAGCTCCTCTCAATCCACCCTCTCCCCTCCCTCTCTTCTCTATCCTGGATCCTCTAGTCCACTCCTTTCTTATGTAAGAAGTTAGCACCTACCCCTTTCCTCGAGAAATGAAATATTTTAAGAAATATTAAAAAGGCAGAATATTATGTTTCCCTGGATGAGAAATGGAGAAGCATGTTTTAAAGACGAAGCAGTGCCCATCTTCCTGCCCCCACCCTGTGTCAATGGGCCAGAGGCAGAAACTCCATCTTTGTTAATGGACCATCATCTGCAACACAATAGGACCCATCTAGGACAGAAACTCACCACATGGCACCTGGGAAGATTACATCAGCCAGCAAGGCTAGCTAAGACCCCCACCTCTTGGGAGTCTGACAACCAATCAGGATACTCTTTTGGGGGGCCAGGAAGTTCAAAGCCAGAGAGAGCATAAAACCCAGGGACTCGTTGTATCTTGCCCCTTTTCTGTTCAGGAACTCAAGCCATGTGATCCTGTCCACCATTAAACCGTCTTTCCAAGCAGTCTCCATGTCCCCAGTGTCTTTTTCCCCACTTGGAGCTGAACCCAGAAGGATATTTCTTCCAACACTTAGAACAGACTCCATTCCCTTCATTTCCTTTGGGATTTATGGACTCCATTCCCTTCATTTCCTTTGGGATTTATGGACTCCATTCCCTTCATTTCTTTTGGGATTTATGGACTCCATTCCCTTCATTTCCTTGGGATTTCTTTTGTGAGGTGGGACGTTGGAGGCAGACGGGCAGCTGGGCAGGAGAGAGGCTGTCCGGTACAGAATTGGAGGAAAGATCAGATTCCAAAGGCTTTTTGGCCCAGAGTGGAAAACTTCTTTTCCCCAAAGTGCCCAACAGATGGAAAGAGGCCTTCGCTCTGCCCAACAGACCCCAAACTCACCCAGTAAGACAGCTCCCACTGGCCCCTCCCCAGCCCCCCTCCCTCTTCCAGCCAGAGCGCTGCCCTCCCCTCCCCTCCCCAGGGAGACTCCTGGGTCTGAAGGGTTCGAGAGTCCTTTGTTGGGAGCCTCCGTGGCAGTTGCAGCTCCTGGTCCCGGCCTCTTCCCAGCCTTCCAAGAGACGGGCAGCGGCTTCCTCTCTGTCCGGACCCTCTCAGCCTTCGGGCACCAGGAGATCCTCTGAATGGGAGCCCTGGAGTGACAGCAATGTGGAAATGGTAGTGGGGGCCCCTGTGGGGCCTCTTCCTGCTCCTTTTTTATGTCTCTGATACGTGTTTTTATAAGGGTCTGAAATTATGCTGGATGTCCATATCACTCTGCTAAAGAAAGAAAGAGAAGGTGAGTGATCTCCTCTCCAAGGAGATAATCAAGGGATTTGCAATAACTCTGGGACAGCTGAATGGAAAGGGGAGGGGAAGTTGGAAGAAGAAGGGAAAGGGGAAAGGGAAAGGGAAGGGAGATTGGAAGCAGGGGAAGGGAAAGGGTAGAGGCATAGGAAGAGAAAGGGAAGGAGAGAGGAAAATGGAAGAAACAGGAAGAGAAAGGAAGCAGAAGGGGAATTGGAGGAGGAGAAGAGAAAGGGAAAAGGAGGAGGAGAAGAGGAATGGGAACTGAAATAAATCCCTTCACCTTTCCTTCCCTTTGGATTACAAATAACTGAATGAGAATCAGCCTGACCCACTCACAACTTCAGAGAGCAAACCAATCAGAACGCCTCTTCAGAAGGGACTCACACAGCTGGGTCTCTCCCTCCCTCCCTCCTCCTCCCTCTCCCTTCCTCCCTCTCCTACTCGCTGTTCCCTCTCTTTATCTCTCCCTCTCCCTGTCTTTTCCTTCCACGGAGTTTTCCTCCCTGATCAGCTGCCACAAAGTATCTGGAGCTATTTGTGATGTCCTCTTATTACGCAGCCCTTACACAGCGGAGCAAAGCCCACCCAGCCAGCCAGCCTTGCCTGAACAACCAGCCCCAAATCCCCGGGAGCCTCGCTCAGCCCCGGAAGCTGGAGATCCCAGCCACCGCTGGAGAAAGGGATCGAGCAGGAGATCCACTGGGAGAAGTTGAGCAGAGGAAGGAAGAGCTGAGGAAGGGGCCCCTGCAGAGTCCCCGGGGGGCTGCTGGGCTGAAGTCCGAAGGGCGCTGGAACCGGGGCGCCTCCGGGGCTGCGGAGTCCTTGGGCGGGGGCGGCCGAGAGGGCTTCGGCCAAAGGGCCCCGCAGCCCCCCGGCTTCCTTCCCAGCGGCCAGAGGCTGCCGAGCGCTGCGAGCGCGGGGCCTGCTGGGCTGAGCGAAGGGGACGGAGGGGGGAGGAGGGGGGAGGGGCAAAGGCTCTTCTTTGGGGGGAGAAAGAGGCCGGCCGGCTTTTCCGCAGCGCTCGCCCCGGTGGCCCATCCAGGTGGGACCCTCCGCATCCCTGCTTAGCCCCGGAGACGCTCCGGGAGAAGGGCGGCTCTTTGGCCTCTTGACCCGGCTTCTCTCGCGGCTCCTCCGCCGCCTTTCTCGGGCGCTTTGCCCGCTGCTCCCCCTTTCCCTCCCCTTCCCTCCCCGGCTTTAAACCCCCCACCTCCTCCATCGCCTCCTTCCCCCACGGACAACACGCCCCCCCCAAAAACATCACCCCCACGCCCCCACCCCCTCTGCCCTTCCCGAGCAGAACCTCCCCACCTCCCTTTTCCCTCCCCAAGCACAAAAGGCTCCTTCTGCCCCTGCGCCCCCCTCGCCCTGCCCGGACCTCCAGCCGCCGCCCCCCGCCCCCCCGCTCCCTCGCAGGAACAAGCAGCCCACACCCCTCCGCCGATCCTGAAGCCATTGCCCCGCGTGCAAAAAAAGCCCACCGCCCTTTGGGGAGGAGCCGTAGCCTTCCGTACAGTCGCCCTTCACCCTCCCACCCGCGAGCCACGCCACGCTCCACCGCCAATTGACCCCCCCCTCATTGTTCAGCTGCCTCCACGCTTCTAGCACTGATGGTGTGAACAACGGCCCCTTCGTTGCATTGCAGGATGATCTCTCCAGGCTGGGAGTGGAGGTCAGAGTCAGGGAAGGGGAGAAAACTCCCAGCCAGATGGAGCAGATGAGAATTTGGACTCCAGAACAAGAGAGGATGATGGAGTTGGCCAAGCTCTTCCCCAACCATCTCTTCGCTCGGTTTCCTGGTTTTGTGGCCAGGAAGGCCAGCACCACCGTGATGGTTTTGGCCAAGAGAGAAGAAACGGCAACTGAGAAGATGATGCTAAAAACTGTTTGTCGGAGAAGGCAGGTGGCTTTCCTTGGTTGACCAATGAAGAGAAGGGAGACAAGAAGCAAAGCAGGAGGGAGACCAGGAGGATGTAGGAGAGGTCCCGGTTGTTGGCTTTGACAAGGGGAGTTTCTCTGTATTTCATGAAGATGATTAAAACAAGATCTGTGGTTAGGAAAAAGAGTAGGGCAAAAGAGACCAGGATGATGCCCAGAAGTTCTTCATAAGACAGGAAAGTTATAGCTTTGAAGATACATTGGACTCTGGCCTCATTTGGATATTTATCATCCGGGCACTTGGTGCATTTTTGTGTATCTGAGAAAGACAAAAAGCAACATTTCTTTAATATTCTGTTTTTTTTCTCTTCAATAGAAACCTTCTTTGGAAAACAGCTGATACCACAGACATTTTCCAAGAAGAATTTCTTTACATTAGAAAGAGCATAAGAAGGATATTTTTTTTCTTTAAAAATGTAGCTAGGTATATGAAGTTGAGGGAAGTCCTAGGATATTAATTATTTCCTGTGTAATGTGTAGAATCTTCATAGGAACCTACATTATTAGAGGTTAATAATGAATCATATAATCTTTTTAGGCAAACATCCTGAGTCCTGCCACATGGCAGTTAATGTCCTGGACTTGGAGGATTCCTACAGTATCTTGTAACATCTGGAAGCAACCTGGAATTAAGGAGAAACTTCCTATCAGTGAGAGCAATTAGCCAGTGGAATAGCTGGCCTCCAGAAGTTGTGGGTGCTTCAACATTGGAGGTTTTTAAGAAGAGAATGGACAGTCACTTGTCTGAAATGGTATAGGGTCTCCTCCTTGAGCAGGGGGCTGGACTAGAAGACCTCCAAGGTTCCTTCCAGCTCTTTTCTGATTGATTGATCTATATGATTGGAAGATTATTTGTGTAATGAGTTCCCCCCATAACTATCCACAGCACCAGATTATGGCCCAGTGAGACCTTCTCAGTGATCCTCAAGGGAGGCCAATAAACAATGAATTGCAAGGTCTTTCAGAAGGTGGACCTGAAACAATTCATCTAGTTTCAAAGATCTCAGATGTTCCTAGAAAGGTGAACTTAGCAGCACATATCCAAATTAAAAGCAGAAGAGATTTTTCCTCTGCTGTTAGTAAAGCTTGCCCAGTCTGCCACCCCCTCCTCCCATCTCTCTCCAAGTCTTTTTGATTTACTTCTGTTTAGATAAGAAATTGTGCAGGTTAAAAATAAAAAACCCATGTGAGCTGCGATCTATCCTTTAACTTGCACTTTCATGAACTGGATGGATCCAGTTCCACAAAGCCTCCCATTTTCCTCAGTGTGACCCACCTTCCTGAGTGGAGAAGGTCCCCTCTGGACAAGGAACGCAGTCATAGCAGCAAACTGGCTCTCCTTCTCGAGCCCTCTTGACAAATCCAGGATGGCAACTTTCCACACATTTGGACTGAGGCAGGGACTGAACAGAAAAACAAAGAATCCCAAAGAAAATATGTTAGGATTTCCATCCATGGAAAATGGGGGAAAATAAACATTAGACAAGTAGATTCTGGGCTTCATGAAGGTAAATATGAAATCTTTGACTCCTTCCAAACAGGTTTTGGAGATGAGACTCTGGCAGGTTCTTTCGTTAGTTCCTCCCTTTTGCTTCTGGCATTTAACACCGCAATATAGGACTTTTCTATTTAATGTAGTCTAGAGGGATGGAATTGAAAAAAGATTTAAATATGATGATATATTCTTATTAAAACTGATAATAAAATTTACAGTAAAAGATTTAGGAAATTTTATTCTATTAGGTTTTTTAATATGAAATTAAACTGTGATGAAGAAAGAAACCTCTGACCAGTAAGATCTTGAAAGGTTTCCATAGAACATGGCAAAGCCACTCCACTTAGGTCCCGTCTCTTGAAGAGCTTCCATGAGATGACACCACCTGGCATGGGAGGCCAACCACCCTGGAGACTCTAGACTTTGCCCACATGAAATGGGACCTCAGGCTTTGGAAAACAGAAAAAAGACACCAAAATTTCTCTCACCTTATTGAGCAACTTTAGCTGTGAAAAAGCATCTTGGTTGATAGAAAGTCTCTGTCTTTCAAAATATGCCAGAATCTCTTCCCTGATACCCCCCTTGGGGAGAACCAACAAGCTGTCAATGCTCAGATCTGCTGTTATCTCTCCATTTTGGTCCAAGTACAGTTTTCTTCGAGAAATATTCCAAAAATCATTCTTCTCCATAAAGGGATGAAACTAGAATGGGAACGTCCAGGATACTGCTGGAGCCTAGCTTGTAGGATTTTAAGCATAACTTTACTAGCATGTGAAATGAGTGCAATGGTGCAATAGTTTGAACATTCTTTGGCATTGCCTTTTTTTGGAATTGGAATGTAAACTGACCTTTTCCAATCCTGTGGCCACTGTTGAGTTTTCCAAATTTGCTGGCAAATTGAGTGTAGCACTTTTACTGCATTGTCTTTTAAGATTTTGAATAGCTCAGCTGTAACACTCTCACAGTGTATCCCAAAATATTTCACTTCTCTAGGAGAGGGTTGGGTTTTAACTTCCAACAGTTCCATACTATTGCAACTGAAGGATACGTCCTTCAATACTATTGAAGCCTCCCAAGCAGTCTTAAAAAAACTATCATTCCCTCACATGCCATTCTCAGTGAAGGTCATCCACTGCAGTGACGAGGTTTAGCCCGCTTGAATTGGTCCCTAAGGCTTTGGAAACAGAAAAAAGACACCAAGATTTCACCCACCTTGTTGAGCAACTTCAGCCGTAAAAGAGCATCTTGGTTGACAATAAGTTTTTGCCTTTTAAAACTCCCCAGTTGCTTTATGGTGACATCCATCTTGGGGAGAAACACCCAGCTGGTGACTCCCAGATCTGCTGCTACATCTCCATTTTGGTCCAAGTACAGTGTCTCCTGAGAAAAATTGCAAAACTCTTCTTTTGACAGAAAGGGATGAAACTAAAATGAAAAGATCCAGAATTTTTAAAAGCAGAAAATCTGGTTTCTTATCCCACATCGTCTTTTCACATTTGAATCTTTCTTCTGCAGTTGTCTAATTTGCAGCATTCTGAGCTGGGAGAACATGAGTTACCACTATCTTCAAAATTTAAAAACAAAGATTCAGGAAAAATTGTCAATCATATATTAATGAAAAATAATTGACAAAAATTGTCAATTATATAGAACTTCCTGTAGCAGTCAAAAAACATTCAAAAAAACAAACCGATAGAGATTATTCATAAACTCCTTGAAATCAGTGACTACTAGTAAGCATGGATTTTCCCAGGTTACTGTTAGATAAACAGAAGAGCTAATTTTACTTTACTATAATGAATAATATAGAATACCATCAGTTTGAAAGTATAAATCCCCCATCAACTCTTCTGTTAGCCTGAAAAGTTAGTCAGGATTCTTTCTGAGTTACTTTCTCTGTCTGTCATGCATCTGAGGCCTCCTCTTCCTCTTATCTGGTCATTTCTAGTCAGTATCTCTTTCCCCATCCCCAAAATCATTCCCAGGTATCATTACACTTTGTTAATAGATTGTGGGAATGCTTGTGGTATATCTTGATTTCATCATTGAATTTCTTCATAAAGTCATCAGTAGAAACCTAGTTAAGTGAGGGTTGGATGATATGATAATTAAGTGGGGGGAAACTGCCTTAAAATTGAACTCAAATAATTTTTAATGTTCCTCATAGAACTGGGGAGATAAGAATTACTATTACTCCTTGATCATCTAGTCTTCAATATATCTATTAATAAAGGCAGATGGAATTGATCTATAATGATTTTTGTGATGCATAATTTATACCAACTCTTAGATAAGGCTATTTAGATCACTTTTAAAAGATTTCCAGCTTCCAGAAAAAATATTTACGATTTCTCAATAGAGGGACAAAATAAAATCCAGTAGAAAAATATCTGATGTTTATCAATTTGAATTTGACAAACAACGGTATCTCGTGTAAGAACAGACAGATGGGAACTACAATATAGATCTATGATTAAGGTTTCATTTTCGATATTATTACGTATGTATATTGGTCACTGATTATAATAAATTGATGGTGTCAACTGATTTATTAGATAAATAATCATATAATCATATAATTAACTTGATAATTTCATTAATCTGGAAGAAGGATGGTGTACAAATGGTGTACAATAATATTTATAAAAATGATTTCTTGGAAATTTACAGTGAATTGTAATGTAATAAGAAATTTATAGTGAAATTGTATAAAGTGATGTACTGTTGGTTTTTAAAATTTAATATTTAAAGATGTTTCAAATGTCTATTGGAAAAGCAATTGTAAAGAAGGTCCTTTTTATGATACATGGCTGACTTGTGACAAGGCAAAGAAATATAGTGAAAATGTTATGCACTCAAAAATGGAAAGAGGCGTCAACTTCCACAATCGAAGAACGGATTGAGAATCTGACAGAATTGGTGGACGTGGCAAAGTTAACAACATTGATTAAGGAAAGGAATGTAAATAGCTTGAAAACCACTTCTGGACTTTCTGATCAAAAGAGATGAAAATTGTTACGTATTGAAATTAGTAACTAAACAAATTGCTGAAGTCTTCACTCAGGTCCGCTATTGAAGCGGGAAAACACTTTAAACTGATTGGTTGACCGACTGACAGCCTCCTATAAAAGGAGCGCTGCCAGCCAGGCTTTTTAGCTGTTGTTCCTATGAACCTAATAAAAAGAGCTTTGTTTAAGTCACTCTGGTCTCGTTTCCATTCTCGCCCAAGATCTAACAAAAATTATGTTCTGACTCTGAATTTTGTTGATTAAGTAGGTAATTATTATAGAAATGACTATTACCTATTGTTTCTATGTACAGTATCTGTCATGATGCCCATTTTTTGAAATGTTATCCCATGAGTGATTAAATTGGCCAAACCGCTTGCCCTTTTCCACCACAAAGAGGTTCAGATGGTTCCCCTCAACCTCCTTTGAATGCTTTTTAAAAACTAACCAAGTTTGATGGATCCTGGTTAGGACCCCATACCTGCCAGGGTTGCAGCCTTGGAGGCCCCAAACTCTCTTCGACCTCCTTGCTTCTCCTCTTTGCTCTGGAGGAATATGCAGCTTTCAAGGTGTGGGCCAGAGTCTTAATGAAACTGTAAAAATGTTCAGAGCTTGGGAACCAGTTCCTGTTCCGTTTCCTTTGGGTCTCCAGGGGGGCTTTCTGGGTACATCTTTTTCGGCCTTTGACAGAAAAGACGTCCTTTGATAGTGAACAGTGAAAATACTGACCTTGAAACCGGGGTTCCACAAAGAATTGGGGTTCAAAGACATCATCTTTTCGCCTTCCTTTTTTTTCCTGATAAGAAAATCTCCAAATACTATGGACATATTTGTAAAGTCTGTGATTTGCAATTGTCACATAACCCAAGGCTGACATGATGCACACTTTCCCCTCAATGGGTCCTGGCAAACGCATAAGTGTTAAATGGAAAGGAAGGATCCTGTCCAAAATGGAAACACGTCCTATGAAGTGAACAAAGACATTAACTTGTCTCCATTTAGAGAGGGCATCCCTGAGGGGTGTTGTATGACCTGTTGTTGAGAATAGTTGTGACATAACAACACAAATTCCATTCCTGACAAGCATAGGAGGGAAAATCCTCATGAAATTCTCTCCCTCCTCTATGTCTGAAGCAAAGAGGCCAATCAAGGTCCATCTGAAATGGAGCAGCAGTTGGACAATTGCTGGATACCGGACCCCTTGTTTGGGGAGCAAATGGTGGAAAAAGGGGAAATTCCTTTTATCACTCAGAGCCTCTGAAGCAGTTCCACAACTGATCTAGAAAAAGCAATGAAGAAAGATGTGTTATATTGGGGGTCAGATAAAGTCCATAATATCACCTTTTAATAAATCCAACTTGGTTCTCATGAATATCTTAGAATAATTTATTGTTAATTATTAGATTCCATAGCTTTCATTATACATTAATAAATACAGTGATTTTAGACATTGAAAAAAAAATCCCAACTCACTTCTGAGGGTAGCAGCTGAAATCCTTTTATCCCCACCCTCACCCATCCCAAAAAATACCCCTCACATTCTTTGATTAGGTTGGTTCTACTGGTGATATAATGCCCCAAACTTAATGCCTCAAACTTCAACACCATATAAGAGCTTGGGGGTAACTTTGGCATTATATACCAAAGTTATGTAAATGGGGAGAAAGATGGATTGCTATGATTAGTTTTTTTTAGTGTTTAAGCACCAAATTCACTTGTGCCTTTTCTTTAAGTGAGTTCCTTTGATGATGTGGGAAACAATATCCAGTTTCTGAGAAAATTACCCCAGGAAAGGAAAGGTATTACTTGCTCTATTGGCTCATCATCAAATAGGCATCTATGGCTATGATGTGATTTTCCAAAAAACCCATAACTTTTTACTTTGTTTTGTAAATAGTCTGAGAACTATAATGGCAATAGAATCGAAGTTTTCTCAACAGCCTACACAATCCATCTTATGACAATGATAGGAGTATCATTTTATCAGCGTAAATCAGTGTGTTCAAATAAATATGTGTACTTCAGGATCCTTCATTAATGCAGGCAAGACGTTAATCTCTAGAGGCATAGAATCAAAATCATGTGAAGTATTAGTACTGCTTTACAAATCCTTAGTAAGACCACACCTGGAATACTGCATCCAGTTTTGGTCACTACATTACAAAAAAGATGAGACTTTGGAAAAAATGCAAAGAAGAGCAACTAAGATGATTAAAGGCCTGGAGACTAAAGCATATGAACATATTACTTTCCAAAGCACCAGAGGGCAGGACAAGAAACAATAGGTGGAAACTACTCAAGGAGAGAAGCAACCTGGAAATAAGGAGAAACTTCCTAACAGTGAGAACAATTAATCAATGGAACACCTTGAAGTCAGAAGTTAAGTCATCACTGGAGGTTTTTAAGAAGATTTAAATGTCTCAAATTGTATAGGTTCTCCTGCTTGAGCAAGGAGTAGGATTAGAAGACCTCCAAGGTTCCTTCCATCTCTATTCTGATTTACACACAAACCTGTGGGACTTTGTAGGTGCCTAGTAATGGTGACGCCTGGATGGAGATTTTCCTTGTAGCTCCATCAAGAAGAGCCAGGAGGTTGTCCTTCCTCCCACAGCCGTAGTTGGGGACATTGGCTTCTCCAGTGGACAGCATGTCCAGCAAGGCATCTGAAGTGCGTAAAGTGCTCAAAGA